CACCACCTGTGAGATTGACTCTGAACAAGAGTGGGGAACATTACTTCATCTGTGGAGTTCCGGGGCACTGCCTAGGAGGTCAAAAGCTGGCCATCAATGTGAGCGGCAGCGGCACCGCCACCCCACCTTCCGGCACGACTTCTCCGTCGCCCTCTTCTCCCTCCAGCAACCCTTCTACCCCTTCTACTCCCTCTCCAGCAGGTGCCCCTCCACAGGACTCTGGTGCTGCATCTCTTGTTGGGTTTTCCGCCACCCTGCTTTCACTTGCCGTGGCATTTTTCTATTAGAGACATGATTTGTAGTTAGGATATTGTTGCGATCTTCCCATTGTGTTTCTTATTTTTTTGAGGGTGTCAATAAATTTAGCTTTCCTTTCATCGGCTATAGTTTTTGTTTTGTGACGAGTAAAGTTTATATGTGACGGTGTGAATAATAATATGATATTAAATACTAGTGCATTAGTGTATTTGTTTGACACTCAACACCGTTAGGAATTGGAAACCGTCATATTTTGTTTGGTTATGGAAAAAATTGTGACGTCTGGGTTATGTTTGAATTATGGAGGAGGTTGATGACTTACCGTCTTTGAAAAATATTGATTTGGGAAGAAAAGGTGACACTCGGAAGTCAATGTTTGGCTAGATTTTGGATCTTCACTGGAATGATTAAATTATATGTGATGGTGAGTTAATGAGTTGGAAAGGTATGATGACATTATTAGTATGTTTGTTTAATGTTTAATGTTTAATGTTTAATGTTTAATGGCTCTCACGCATTATCTTCTTTTCATGTTTGATTATAATTTATAAATTACACAAAAGCTTAAGCCACGAGTTTAATACAACGATTAGGTATCTGGGACTGCGTATTCATTTCGGCATCCTATGCTGTGCTCGACCTTTTAAATAAAAGGGCACGAGAAGAATCCAAAATGTTTAGAAACTTTTATTTTTAATTAAACAGTTCTTTATCAAATTTATTTTTATTCATCATAATAAATATTATGAATTCAAAATTATGAGATATTTTTTGTAGGAATAATATTTGTAAGGATGTTTTTAACTTTTTATTAAGTCCTATTTTTTAGTTATCCAATTATTTTGACGTAAGAATTATCTTGTCCAAAAAGTATTTTTAGGAGTTCCTTTTCAATAGAAATATTTTTAAGAATTCTTTTATTTTTTTATTTTATTTAAATTTTTATCTATAATATTTTTATGAATTAAAATTTAATATTTTTATAAAAATTATCAAAAAATTAAAAATAATCTTATGGTGCCGTTTAAATTAATTATCTTAAATTTAAAATATAATTTATATAGTTTAAAATATTTATTTATACAAAACTAAATATAATATTTTTTGTATATAATTTATTATAAACTTTTCTTATATATAAGAAATATTTATTCTATGAAATGTACATGCTAAAATATTAATTATTTTAAAATTAGTATTTTACTTTTTACAGAATGAATTTTTTTACATAATTAAGAATTATAATAATAAGTACTGTATTATATAAATGATATTATAATCAATATTTATAATAATAAATATTTATGAATATATAATTTATATTTTAAATTTATTATAAATCATGTATATTATTATATAAGATTTTTTAACTATTAATAATTGTCTTAAAAATATTATTGAAATTCTAGTTAGAAATAAATATATAAAAAATAATAGATTAAAAATATAAACAATTTCTAATCTGTAATTTTTATCTCATATTTTTAATTATGTAATTTTGATTCAAACTTCAAAAATGTACAGGTTTGATTCGATCACTAATAGAATTTCTCTTATTACATGCGACTTTTCTTGCCAATTTTTCATAAAAATTTGCAGGAAACGTTGTTTCTGTAAATTTTTCTGCGAAATATTTGCAGGTAATACCTTCTTAGATAATATATTTTTGCGAATTTTAAAATTCGCATGAAATTTTCCTACGAAATTTCTTGCGAAAAAAATTCGCAAGAAAGTTTTTTGCAGGAAATTTTCCTGAAAATAAATTTCGCAGGAAAATTTCCTGCAAATTTTTTCAAATAAATTCTGCAGGAATATTTTTTACGAAAAAGTTAAAAAAAATTACTATAAATTCTATATTTTAAGAATTCATAATCTTTTATTTTCATGCCTCATACATAATGTTTTAAATTCTAAGATTGTAGATTATAAGCCTAACACTCAACCATACAATTCTACTTGTAAGGTAAGTGTTATTCCAACTTATATACTCTTTAATTATTTTATTTTTAATCGATATGGGACTTGAAGATTTTTTAAAATATTAAAATTATGAATTTAAATATATTTCTTATTTTTTCTGCTAATTAAAATTTGCAGGAAAATCCACAGGAAAAGTTACCTGCAAAATTTTTCTACTATTTAGTAAACATTACTCGCGAATTTATTTTTGCAAGAAAATCTGCAAGAAACAAAATAAAATTCTTACAATATTTTCTGCAAATTTTTACCATGGAAATTCTTTTTCCATGATTATTAAAATTCTAGCAAAATTTGTAAGAAATATCTGTAAATTAATTTTTGCAAGAAAATTCTCAAAAAATTTCTGCGAATATTTTTTTGCAGGAAAATTCGCAAAAACTTTCCACGAATATTTTTTTGCAAGAAAATTTGCAAAAAAATAATATTTTTCTAGTAGTGGATTATCAAATCTAGACACTTATAATGCAATGGCATAATTTTCAAAGTAATAAATGTTATGTGACATGTATGTAGCGCATAACATCGTAGAATACTATTATATAAGTTTTCACTTTCTCTATGAGCATTTTTTTTCCAAATTTAAATTGTCTAAGTATGCAAATTTGACTCTGGAACTACAATTTAATAATTTTATCATAATTGAAAGACTAAAATTGTAATATACATGTGAAAGAAAGAATTTGTAAGATTGTGAGTGTGAGTGTTATTACTCCTAATTATTTTATGATATTAAGTTGAGTTGTCTATGTTAAGGGATTCAAGGGTCTGAGGATCACTTTTAAGTTTTAATGGTGTTAAGGGGTTTATCACATATTATATGATGTTTTGTTTTGAGTTATAAATTAAGAAGTAGATATGAGTTGTGAGTTATGTGTAGACAGAGTGGTGTATTGTCTGTGTTGTGTTGAATATATAATGTGTTGTTGAAAAGTTTGTTGATTATAGAGTTGAATATGAGTTGTGATGATTGAGATGTTAGACGTAAAGTTGTATGTTGATTTTATTGTTGCGTTGAAAATATAAGGATTGTAGTGTTGTTGAGTTGTGTTGACCACTTAGAACTAGAGGATATATTTTTGAAAGTTGCATATCCTATTGTGTTATGCTACTCCAAGAGTCCAATTTGTTGAAAAATCCTTTATTGAAAAGTTAACCTTTGAAGTATATGTTGTGTTGTTCTCCTATAGGACTGTGTTAGTACCGTGTGTGAACAAGGTCGAGAAACACGTGTATAAAGCGACCAAGGTATAGGAATCAAGTCAAATTATACTAATTACAAGTGACCAACCGAGTAAAGTATGATCTATCAATTCCAAAAAGATCACATTGTGTTGTCGATTTGGTAGAATCAAACCACTTAAACTGTTCACCCTGTGTTATAGGAGATCTCCTAGTCGAAATGCGTGTCAACGCATATAGTTGCTATGTTGAGCATATGATGTGTTGAGTTGACTGTGTTGTCTAAATGTTATGTTGATCTAAGATGATATGTGATATTATGTTGAATCAGAGTTGTATTGTGTTGATTTGAATTACATGCTATTATGTTATGTCGTTGTGTTGTTAAAGATGATATGATGATCTAATGTTTATGTGATGTATTTACATTATTTCTTTTTTACTTTAACTTATCCTTATATGTTTTCATGTGATGTGAACTACGATAATCATACGTGGTATGAAAGTAAGGCAAAGATAAGACTAGAGAGTTGTTGTAGAGGTCACCTAGTAGCATAGGAGTTGGAAGACATTTTGTTGACTACCCATGGTGGTAGATTGTATAGACAGTGTAGTTGCTTGACTGAAAACTTAGGATGTATAATTTACATCTATTAGATTACTGTATTTATATTGCATCTATTTATTTAGTTGATTTTCTTTTATACGTGTACATTACAATACATATTCTAGTATTTGTATGTCTAGAGTCTTAAGCTACATGTTTTTCACTATTAATAGTTATATCATATAGTGCAAAGATCAAGTCAGATCGTTATATAATTAAAAGAAGTAAAGATTTAGAAAGAAATTGGATCTCAATCCTTTATTTTAATGCAAAGATTATAGTTTTATCGTCTCGCCACTTACAATGGCACCTCCTTCTTCTTATATGTTATAGCATATATATATATATATATA